ATTTTTTCAACATGGAGGAGACCGAGTTATTGGCCCTGCCGGGCCGCTTCGAATCTCGAATTTTCTCGCATAACTTGCAGCGGAAGAATTTTGAACAGTGGCACAAGCGTGTGGTCAAAAAATTGGCGGCATCTCACCATTGTTGTGTCACGTTGCTGCAGGAGGTGCAATCTTGGACCGACTGTGAGTACGCAGGCAGTTTGGTCTTATCGGAGGTGGGGTGCGACAGCGGCATAGTGCTTCCCCAGGACCTCAGGTCGACTATCCGGAGGACCGTGCATGAAGATCTGTTTTCAGCAGTGCAGGTTTGGGATCTGATTTTTATAGCTGCACATCCTCCTCATTCTAGTCGCCCTGAGCACGAACTGTTGGATGTCATGGAACGCGTTACGAAGTTGGTCCAGCCTTGAAAAGCACGCCGCCGGGTTCCGGCAACCCGTTTGGTCGTAGGAGGTGACTTCAACTGCACCCCCCCCGGCGTTACACGATCCCACCACAGGTGAGTTCGCATTGCGACGGCCTCAAAAACAGCAGGAACGAGTGCAAGGAGTCCTTGAATGGCTTGGCAGTTTGGGTTTGAAGGTGCTCAACATGTTCGCTCCAGACTGGATGCACAAAAGCATACATGGAGGAGAAAACGGGGCACATCTCGATCGCAGATAGATTACGCGTGCTCGGACTGTAACTTTTGGGGCACAGCCTACGTGGAAAATGATTTGACAATACGGTCGGACCTTCTTCCCGTAGTCGGCAGGCTTTCTCCGCGCATCTCCGTTGCCGTCCGCTTTGGAGGCAGACCCAGTTGCGCATGTTTGATGCCAGAAATTGTTGGGGACTTGGATCGATTCAGACGTGAATGTGTGCAGTTTCTTCCTGGCGGTGCCGCTTCAGTATCGGATTTGGCTTGTCTTGAGAGGAAGGTTTGCCGCTTGTCTGCAGAGATTCCACCCTTCACGGCTAAGCAGTGACAAACAGGGAACCGAATCCTACGAATCGGAGGGACAAGAGACGAATTTTGTGTCACTTGGCACGGCGGCGCCGTCAACGACGGCAACGTTTCGAGTTGGAGAGACTTGCATCTGCGAAGCCTGCCCTGAGATCTCCCCCGCGCGAGTTGCGCTTCAAGGGCGGGGTCGCGACCTCATCTTGGAAAGCGTGGAGCGCGGCGGCTCGCGATCTTTGTGCTGGGCGCTACGGGGGGCCCAGCCGGCGACGCCTCTACGCGCTTCCCCCGTTTGGGTCGACTCCGGGCAGCGGCAGATTGCGAGCGTCTGGGCGGACGCCGGGGGCCGCAATTGACCTTGGCTTTGGTTTTTGACAGTCGAGCTCGGCCGGTTCCCAATTCAGCCCCAGGCGCAGATGGGGTTGTGTCCGAGATATGGCGCCCCATACCTTGATTGCTTGCGCTGCACATTTGGCAATTCTTTTAGGAGAGGCTCGCGGGGCGACCGAGTGCGGCATCTGAGGATTGGGCGTTACTTGATTTACTCGGCATCGGAAATACCAGCAGGCCTACCAGTCTGGAGGAATCCCGGTTTGTTGCCAAATCGGCCACGTTGCAAAAGTGGCATCTCAAGTGCTTGATACAGGTATGCAGACGGGGCGCGAAGCCGCCCAGGGTGCACGCGCGCGGGTTCAGACCGGGGGCATCCACGATGATGGTCACGGAACTGTTACGGCAATGTTTATATATTGGCCGCGAGTGGGCCAAGCCTGTCTTTATCTTGTCCGCTGACGTGCTAACTGTTTTCGATTATATGGTGCATGGTGAGATGGACGATGCACTCAGGCGTCGAGGACGACATCCTCGCTCGGCGGCAGCTCTTCTTCAAGAGTTGGCGGGGCTACGAGCGCAAGTCACACTGGCTGACGAAGCTACTTCAGATCCATTCCCAGACCCCCGGGAAGGCAGACAAGGAGGAGTAGGGACCCCCGACATCTGCAACCTGGCGATGGAAGCCCTTCATCATTGCCGGGCCCATGCAACAAGCAATGGAGATGTTGTCGGATGACGCACGCGCTTCGTATTCACATGGGTTGGAGTGGAAGCGGAAGTCTTTGGAGGTGATACGCAGCGCCAATGTCACGGAGGAGCCTCGCATATCTGTCACGACGCCTCACGGGGAGGAGTTGGAACTCAAGCTTGTCGATGAGATGTTGGCGCTGGGCGCATTGTTGGATCGATCGGGTTCTTCGGCACGGAGCATGGAGCACCGCGTGACCAAAGCAGATGAGCGTTTCTACCGACGCAAGTACGATTTGCGCAATCAGGTTGGATCGGCCACTAAACGCACGGATGCCTTCAACAATTCTGTCCGCAACGTTCTCCTGTACAACGGTGGCGGGTGGCGTGTGAACCAAGACCTTCTCAATCGATTGCGGTGTCGGGAGAACGCGAAACTTCGAAAAGTTCCGAGGTTCAGGCGGCGCCCTGAGGAAAGCCAGACCGCGTTTAATCAGCGCGCGTCAAAAAAGGACCCAGCTCTGGTTCGACACGCGCAACCGCCAACGAGCACACCGCGCTTCTTTGACCGCAGTGCACACTGGGGCAAAAAAAACGCAATGGATTTAAGCTCCCGTGCGGAGATCAACCCCTGGCGGATCTCATACAAGCTCGCAGTCAGCACTGGCGGTCTGTCCATCACGAGGCCTTTGAAATTTTCGACGAAGAATACCACGGGATGGCGCCACTGGAAGAGCGGCAGGCGCACGGCGTGGGAGCATTCGCGCGCGCGCGCATGCGGCGCGGACTGGCGGGGCGCCGCGCGCGGACCTCACTGGCGAGAAACTCGCGAGGACTTCGTTCCAAAATGTGCAACTTGTGGTATTTGAGGCCGTTGGCAGGGACGACAACCACCAGCGACTGGAGAACCAAATCCGCGGACATACAGCTTCCGCCTTCCAAGGGCACGGAGACTTGGGACTTTGCTGGCCGGTCGTTCGGGTTCCGCGTCGACAACCGACCTCTGGCGGATTGGCGCAGTGCCGATGCGTCTTATCACGCGAGATTTCACCAACGGATCAACGTCATCTTGGAGGTGCTCTCCCCGTTGGTGTTGACTATAGGCTGACGCTTCCGGGCCCAAGCAGGCAGCTGGGTTCGGTGGAGCCCGCGAGACCAAAACAAATTCGCGGATACACTGGCGAATCATGTTATGGACACGCGGCGGAGTTCCGGATGGATCTCCACTTGGCCATTGGATTTCGACAACATGTATTTCGTCATGGTGTCGGACGGCGCGGCCAGGCAACCTGCAGGCTTGTCGGCATTTTCGTGGGCAGTTCTTTGGGCATGGAACTCGGATGCTTCATCCGCTGCCCCGATTGCGGCCGGAGCTGTATTTTCCAAGAGACAAGACCGCATGGAAGCAGAACTTGGTGGCATTGAACTTGCAGTAGCAGCATTTTTCCCACATGTGTGCAATGATGACCATACTTGTACCACACGACAATGACATTGTGCTCGACAATTTTCAGGAAGCTGCTGATTTCCCCTTTCCTCCTCTTCCTTCCCCTCTTCCTGTTCCGATAATCAGTCATGGCGATGGCCCTCCTGCCCAAGGCGGCGTCGAAGAGGAACTAGGTAGCATCAGAAGGTAGAGCATCAAGATGGTTGCGGGTTGATTTGCGCCCAACAGGGCCGAAGCGGATGCCGAGGAAGAAGAAGAAGAAGAAGAAGAAAGACGAGGACGAGGAGGAGGACAACGAGGACGAGGACAGAACCCTCAAAATCGCCTCTTGGAGCCCTCGTTGGACTGTTTTGGTGGATCTTGGTGTCCTCTTGGGTCTGTCTTGGGGGGTCTTGGGGCCCTCTTGGGGCCTTCTCGGAGCCCTCTTGGGGGTCCCTTTGGAGCCCCAGAGGGCTTCCCGGGGCCATCTTGAAGGCCATCGATCAAAGGAGGGGGTCCCAAATGTTTCTTTCCCCACCTGGGGCCATCAAAATCGCCTCTTGGGGCCCTCTTGGAGCGCTCTTGGGCGCGCTTGGGGCCGTCTGGGGGGCCTCTTGGGCCCTTCTTGGGCCGTTTTGGGGCCATCTTCATGCCGCCAAAGCGCATCGGCAACGAAGAGGCGAGAAGTCAAAAATGAGTGATTTTCCTCAGGTGTGTGGAAATGAGGCTCTTCGGGGAGTCCTGAGGGGGCTCCGAGAGCACGTGGGACCATCTTGTGGTCCTCGTTGGGCCTCTTGGAGATATGTCGGAAGCTATATTGAACCATTACCGGCTATCTTGAGCCATCTTGGAGGTCATCTTGGAGAATCGGAGGCCCTCTTGGAGCCATATTGGGCGAAAAAGGGCCCCCTCCCACCTCGCGGCCCCCCATCAAAAACCTCAGGGAGGGGGGGAGGCAACCTCCCCGAAGGGAAGAGGGACGGCTTTTGGAAGAGGGAAGGAAAAACGCTGGACCACCTTAGCCCAAAGGGCTGGTGGAGCTTCAGGGAGATCCGTGATTCTAGCCTCTGGAGGCCCTCGTGGCGGCCCCCTTGGAGTGGTATTGGTGGCCTGCTGAGCCCTCTTGAGTTCATCTTGGGCCGTTTCGGGGCCATCTTGGGCCGTTCCGGAGCCCTGTTGAACTATGCGGGGGTCTTTTGGGATAGTTTTGGCGCGCTTGCGAGCTCTTCTGGGCCAGATGAGTCCCGCACGCACCTCCAGATAGGCCTGCCCTTCCAATTCGGCCGATCTGAGCTCCTAGGGGAGGGGTGTGAGGAGTGGCAACCATCTCGTTCGCCGAAAACCCCAAGGGGTCGGCGATGTGTTGGCATGTACCAGGGCGCATGATGTCACCAACAAGGGCAGCGACCCTCGAGAACGAAAACCGTAATTTGCATTGCGCTGAGCCCGTGGTTAATCGAAGTTGTTTTTGGGCATCGTCTTTGCACGGTGGGTTGTGACGGTCCGTCTAGATTGGCTTGGTAGAGGGCGAGCTTGATGGGGCAACGAAATGCAAGGCCCAAGCGAAAGCGGCCACATCATTGATGAATCATTGGTGTTTCAGTTGGGGAGGTTACGACACCTTCATTCATGGCATGTTCTGCAAGACTTCAAGTCGTTGAAGCTGGCGCTCCGAAAGATAAGTGATAATGCCAGAAGCGCTCGTTTGGGCACGTCCAGTCCAGAGGATGGGCACTGCAGAGGCACATGGTAGAATAGCAAGTCAGAGCACGCAGGATTGCATGTGATGACTTGTTGTCAAGCCGTCGTATCGGCCGAGAGTGAGAGCATTGGGCCAACCGCTTCTCGGAAACGTGTTACATTCGCTAACTTGTTGTTGATGTGATGTTGCTATATCCAATGCAGGTAATATGCCTTGCATAGACAGCATTCGTTTGAGCAGTCCAGAGCGGGCGAGGGTGGGGCCAGGCTTTGGCCACGAGTTCCAGCCGAGAAGCTTTACAGGAATCGCTGGCAGGCTTCTGTGCGAGCAGTGCGCGTGCACGTGCATGTCAGTGTGAGTGTGCTTGTGCGTGTGCGTGTGCGCGTGCGCGTGCGTGTGCGTGTGCATGTGCGTGTGTGTGTGTGTGTGTGTGTGCACCTTCCACCAGCACCGTAGTTTCGTCTGCTCATCGCCCCTCCCTGCCATCAAGGCCCGAATGGGCGTAGCTGCTGCCGGTGGCGAGACCCTAAGCGGTCTCTGAGAGCTCGGCCGGACTGAAACGCGCACGCTTCCTTGCCTGCCCCCGGCTTTCTACGCCCCGTCGCCGCGCGCGGGGCCGCGACGTCAAAAATTGTGTGTGCGTGTGTGCGTGTGTGTGTGTGTGTGAGTGTGTGTGCGTGCGTGTGTGTGTGTGTTTGTCCGTGTGTGCGTGTGTGTGCGTGTGTGTGTGTGTGCGTTTGGATTCGCAGCTCCTCCTTTACATCACCTCTGGCTGCATTGACAGTGTGCACGGTTTGTACACTGTGCCTTCGACAACGTCCGATAACAATTCGTATTCCAATATGTCGCTCGCGCCTGAAGATGCTCTGCGTCGCCAGCTTAAAAGTGTGTGTGTGTGTCTGTGCCTGTGCCTGTGTCTGTGTCCGTGTCCGTGTCTGTGTCTGTGTCTGTGTTTGTGTCTGTGTCTGTGTGTGTCTGCGGATGTGGTTGCAGGTCCGTGTGCGTGTGCATGTGTGGCTGTGGTTGTGGCTGTGGCTGTGGGGGAGGAGTGCGCGTGTGCGTGTGCGTGTTCGTGTGCGTGTGCGTGTGCGCGTGCGTGTGCGTGTGCGTGTGCGTGTGCGTGCGAGTGTGCGCGTGCATGTGCGTGTGTATGCGTGTGTATGCGTGTGTGCGTATGTGTTTGTTTGTGTGTGTGTTTTTGTGTGTGCGTGTGTGTGTGTGTTTGTTTGTGAGTGCGTGTGCGTTTGGTATGCGTGCGCGTGTACGTGTGCGTGTGCTTGTGCGCATGTGTGCGTGTGTGCGTGCGTGTGTGCGCGTGTGCGTGTGTGCGTGCGTGTGCGTGCGTGTGCGTGTGTGTGTGTGTGTGCGTGTGTGGGTGTGCATGTGTGTGTGTGCGTGCGCGTGTGCGTGTGTGTGTTCGTGTGAGTCTTTGTGCGGGTGTGTGTGTGTGTGCGTGTGTGTGTGATTGTGTGTGCGTACGTGCGTGCGTGTGTGTGTGTGTGTGCGTGTGTGTGTGTGTGTGGGTGTGCGCGTGTGTGTGTGTGTACGTGCGTGTGTGCGTGTGTGAGTGTGTGCATTTGTGTGTGTGGGTGTGTGTGTGTGTGTGTGCGTGCGTGTGCGTGTATACGTGTGCGTGCGCTTGCGCGTGCGCGTGTGCTTGCGCGTGCGCGTCTGCGCCTGTGTCTGTGTCCGTGTCCGCGTGTCCGTGTGACCGTGTGTTCGTGTGTCCGTATGTCCGCGTGTCCGTGTGTCCTTGTGTCCGTGTGCTCTTGTGTCCGTGTGCTCGTGTGTCCGTGAATCCGTGTGTCCGAGTGTCCGTGTGTCCGTGTGTCCGTGCGTCCGCGTGTCCGTGTGTCCGTGCGTCCGTGTATTTGTGTGTCCGTGTTTTCGTGTGTCCGTGAATCCGTGTGTCCGTGTGTCCGTGTGTCCGTGTGTGTGGGTGTCCGCGTGTCCGTGTGTGTGTGTGTTGTCCATATGTTCCCGTTTGTGTGTGTGTGTTTGTGTGGGTGGTGGGTGTGTGTCTGTGTGTGGGGGGGGGTTGTGTGTGCGTTTGTGTGTACGTGTGTGTGTGTGTGCTTGTGTGTGCGTGTATGTACGTGTGCGTGTGCATTGTGCGTGGTGCGTGGTGCGTCGTGCGTTGTGCGTTGTGCGCGTGCGTTGTGCGTTGTGCCTTGTGCGTTGTGCGTTGTGCAGGCGTGCGGGCGTGCGGGCGTGCGTGCGCGCGTGTGTATGTGTGTGCTTGTGCGTAGTGTGTGTGGTGTGTGTAGTGTGTGGGTGCTTGCGCGCGTGCGTGTGTGTATGTATGTGTGTGGACCTCCTCTCCTTCGATGTTGCACACCACCTTATCTTTTGAGCAATAATGGCAGGACCCTCCGAGTGAGCGCATCAACTTAGCATTCGGAATCAGCATGAATAGTGCGCCTCAGAATGGCAATGAGAGGCCATGACTAGGACACTGTACCCGTCCTCTACGCGCCAGCAAGTCCATTATTTTTATCCCGACGCTTCCCCGAGGCGTGTCGCAGTCTTCGAAGGATGCGTGGAGGGGCATGCGCACGCCACGGCGAGTCGCAGACAGTCCGGTAGCCGCTGCAATTTTCTGTTTGTGGGAGAAGAGAGTGGACCAGATGCCACGGCATAGACATGACGGGAAAGACGTCGTGGGTAGGGTGTTCCGGGAAGGAGGCCAACTTCACGATCACGATTGGATAGTCTCTTGTCGACTGCTGCTTAAGTTAAAGAATGTGTTGTCAGAATTAGAGGTCACCCTCTCTGCCAGCTGATCCGTCGCAAAGGGTATGTTTGTTGTGTCGGCGGCCGTTTGGGCGGTTTGCCTGGGCCGTCTCTGGGCCATCTTAGGGGCATTGTAAGGCGCTCTTGGAGGTCCGGGCTTCAGGGACGCATGGTAAATGGTACAGTCAATGCGCAGAGTCAGGATGGGCAACCTTCCCAGGGGTAGCCGTGCATCCTTGCCTCCTCGGTCCATCCTAGGCCGCTTTTGCTGGCCACGCCCCGCCCGCCCGCAAAGTGCCGACATGGTCTTGGGTCAACTGTATTTTGCTTTCGTTGTGGCGTCCGTGCTGCCAGCGCCAACAAAAGGCATGGCCCTTTTGCGAGAGGCACCTGCACTTCAGCTGGACGTGTTACGATCTCTCGCTCGGCTCCCATCGACGTGCAGCGCAACACAATTCGTTCGTAAGCTCCGACTTCCTCCCAGTCTCCCTCCCTCCTCCTCCTTCCTCCTCCTCCTCCTCCTCCTCCTCCTCCTACTCCTCCTCCTCCTCTTCGTTATTCCTTCTTATCCTGCCGCCATCCTCGCTGACCCCTCCAGGGCTCCTCGCCCTCCGCGGCGCCCTCCGCGGCGGCGGTGGCGCCAGCGGCGGCGGTGCGAGCGCGACGTGCGCGTCTTCGGCGGAGTCGTCGGCATCGGCGTCGACGCCGACGACTATTTCAGGTTGTGCTTCAGTCAGAGGAGGAGGAACAAGGTACTCATACCGCTGCCGCCACCCATCGAGGTGCGACGTGTTCGGGCGCTTTCGTCGGTTCTCGGCGGTTCTCCGGCCTCGGGATGGTTTCCAGTAGATGTGCCTCGCCAAGAGCTTTCCGAGGATGCCTGGATCGGTTTGAGTGACCGCGGGAGGGCCGAGCAACGACCCGAAAACGACAGCCGGGCCTCCGATGCCGCTGCCCTCCCTCCTTTTCGCCGTCTTGAGCCGCCTGGGAGGCCCTCGTCGCCACGGCCGCGTTCCCCTCGAAGTCCTTGTCAGAACGCCCCCCAGGAGAGGTCCGTGGAGCAGCGGTCTCCGTACCTTGCGGTTTCCCCATTCGGAGCGCATTTGGTTGCACACGAAGGGGATGTGAAGTCAGGGAGAGTGATTCTACAGGATGTCCAGACATGGTGTCTTGAACGTTGTCCTTGCCCTGTTGGCAAGACGGACGATTGGCCACTGCGATAAGCCCGTACGCTCCCTCTCCATGCTTGCATGGTTGTTCATGCATCATAATGTGTGACCCTCTAGGTCATTACCGTGGACTGCGAGTCGAATAGGACGGTGCTGCAGATTGCAGGGGAAATTTTGAGAAGGCATGCCGTTCGCAAATAGGTAATGATGCTCAGCTCACCCTAGTGTTGATGATGTTCGTCAGAAGGTGATGGCAAGACCAGGCTATCACTCACGATATGCGCAGCGATACGTGATCAGTGGTGTCATGAGGAACATTGGATGCACAGGGTAGTTGAGAAACAGAGCTGCTGGATACATTGGGTCTGGCTGGATTTTCCAAGAAATCTGTTCGCACCTTTTTCCCTCAGCTATCGCGCTCGATCCCATGGTGCCCCAGCTTGCCAGAGCCACGTTCGGACCCCGAGGCCTGACCTAGCTCTGCCAAGGGCGAAAATCACCACCACGTGTTTTCCAATCATCCTTTGGTGTTAGGTCCTCGTCTTGAGTCCGCAGCGACGCGCTCCACCTTAAAGTCCTCCTCCCCCGCCTTGCCCCTGCCCACCGCATGTCCATTGCGTCACACTCCTCGCACACATCGTGGCCCCACAGGCAGCTCCATCCCAGACCTGACTTTCAGAGTTTGCATGCCACCGCTTCGCCGATTCCGGCGCACATCCCTCGCACGCTTCGTGGCCCCATGGGAAGGCCCGACTGTCAAAGTTTGCACGCCACCGCCCCGCCCATTGCGGCATACCCCGCCCCTCGTACGCTTCGTGGCCCCATAGAGGGCTCCACCTCGGGCCCCAGTGGCAAAGCTTGCATGCCGCCGCCCGCCCATTTTGGCGCACCCCTCACGGTGAGCTCCACTTCAGGCTCCAGAGGCAAAGGTTGCATACCACCGCCTCGCCCACTGCAACACCCCCCTTGCACGTTTCGTGTCCCGATGCGGAGCTCTACCCAAAGCGCCAGTGGCAAAGTTTGCATGCCGCCGCCCCGCCCATGTCGGAATACCTTCACACGTTTCGTGGCCGTTTCGTGGCCCCATAAGGGGGTCCCATCGCAGGCTGCAGTTCCAAAATTTGCCTGCCGCCGCCCCGCCCATGTCGGCACGCCGCTCACACCTTTCGTGGCCCCGTGAGAACTTCCCCTGTAGGGACCGAGAGGCACAGTCACGCTTCGTGGCCCCGTTGCGAGCTCCACCTGAGGCCTCAGGGGCAAAGTTTGCCTGCCACCGCCCCGCACATTTCGGCGCGCCCCTCACGTGCTTCGCGGCCCCGCAGGGAGTTCTACCCAAGGCCCTAGTGTCAAAGTTTGCATGCCACTGCCCCGCCCACTTCGGCGCACCCCTCACGCCTTCCGCGGTCCAGCTCCATCAAAGGCGCCACTGGCAAAGCCTGCATGCCGCCGCCCCGCCCATTTCGGCGCACCCCCATCCCCTCGTACGCCTCGTTGTCAGATGGGTACCAACGAAGGCCTCAGTGGCAAAGTTTGCATGCCGCCGCCCCGCCCATCCCAGCACGCCCCTCACACGCTTCGCGGCCCCATGGGGAGATCCACCTAAGGCCCTAGTGGTAAAGTTTACATGCCGTCGCCCCGCCCATGTCGGCACGCCCCATCACAGGCTTCGCAGCCCCGTCCGCTCCGCACCTCTCGCGGCATGCTGCGTATAAAGAGGACCACATCTTGCGCTACTCGCAGCTGCACAAGGTTGGATCCATTGCAAGGCTAATTTCGCAGAGCTTCCCGAAGTCGTTCCAAGTTTCCGTTTTGGCTGGTTCTCGAGGTTGTGCCCGAACATTTGCTCGCAGGTGTGGCATAACAATTTCCTTGACAGGTCCACGCGGCCAGGTCCCGCCTGCGCACACAGTATTGCAAGCGTGAGGTGAAGAGTTCGTCTGGAAGCCCTTCGTACCCACCTGGGCTAACTCGTCGGCACGTATCAAGCCGCCACGCATGTTGCAAATTCGCGGTTTCAGACGCTCTAAACGATCAGATGCCATGACGGCAAATGGCAGAGTTGCTGGCCGTGGGTACAACCATGGTAGACCAACCACTGCGAGCGGGTACCGATGCAAGCGCAACGTTAAGCATGGTGTGTGATAGCGCCATCCCGAGGACTGGGATCATCGGGGAGTACCACTACAAGTGGCACGGTTCGTTGAGAGTACCATCCAGGGGGCTCACTTCTACCTCTGCCCCCTGAAAGCGGGCCAGAGCGATGCACATCTTGAGGAGGGCAGGGATCAGATGACAAGGAGGGTGCACAAAGCAGATGCAAACCGATGCCCCCAAGCGGCGTGTGTGGCTGCGTCCGAATTCGATAACTCGTTTCGCCGAGGTCTCCTTCTCATCATCCGTAGTTGCATTCCTGCGTGCAGGAAGGGAAAGACGCGACGGTATCCGAGCGCATGGGAAGCACAACGGCGTAAATCAATTACCAGAGCATGCTATTTGGTGTCGTGGCTATGGGCCGAAGTAGCAGCAGGAATAGGAAATGCGCATGAAAAGACAGGGGCGACTTGTAAGCATGTCCATGGGTGTGGAGAATGTGGGCTTCTGATCGGTCGCTTGCGCTACATGGCATGCTGCCTGCGCAGTGCGGAAACTTGTGCCGCAGTCCGAAGAATGTCGTATTGACCTAGCACGCGGGTTGTACGTGCGCAGTCGCTCTTGGGGTGGGTGGTCGCTCGTGAGGCAGAAGGCCCTCCTGCCTTCCCAGCCGCCCAAACTCCTTCTCTGAAGCATCTCTGGCTTCCCTAGCCCCAGACCAATTTCCGCCTCGAAGCATCCCATGCTTCCAAATCCCCCCGTTCGCCTCCCTAGCCTTTCCAGTCTATTGGAATTGCGTGGCCTCCATATTTGAATTTGTCTTTCTGAAATCCGCAGCGTCCCCATTTTCACATTTTGCGAATGCTTGGCGCGGGAGGCACAAGTCCAAGCTGTCCCAGTGCTGGTCGGACCAAGAGTCCCGATTGTGTCAATGTACAGCCCCGAACGCGGTTAGGCGATTGACTTGGCGATTGCAGACCGCGGTTCAAACAGTGTGTCG